TTAGCCAGGATAGTCTCGATCTCCTGACCTCGTGATCTGCCCGTCTCGGCCTCCCAAAGTGCTGGGATTACAGGCTTGAGCCACCGTGCCCGGCTCGATAATTTTTTAAGTGGTAAAATATACCTAACATAACAAGTACCATTTTAACCAATTTTGAATTCAGAGGCATTGAGTACGTTCACGTTGTGTAACCATTACTACTGTTTATCCCCAGAGCTTGTTTATCTTCCTCAACTGAAACTCTGTATCCATTGAATAATAGTTCCCCATTCCCCTTCTCCCAGCTCAGGTATCCACCATTATATTTCCTGTCTGCAGGAATTTGTTTACTATGTTTGGAGATTATTTCTCTCTCTGTCACTCAGGCTGGAGTGCAGTGGCATGTTCTCAGCTCACTGCAACATCTGCTTCCTGGGTTCAAGTGATTCTTCTGCCTCAGCCTCCCGAGTAGCTGGGACTACAGGTGTGTGCCACCACGCCCGGCTACTTTTTGTATTTTTAGTAGAGATGGGGTTTCGCCATTCTGGCCAGACTGGTCTCAAACTCTTGACCTCATGATTCCCCCGCCTGGGCCTCCTAAAGTGCTGGGATTACAGGCGTGAGCCACCGCGTCCGGCCAATTATTCCTTTTTTTATGCATTACTTCTCAGTAAAATACAATCTAACTGTGTTATCTGTCCTAGTCTCTTTTCTGTTGCTAGTAACAGAGTACCTGAAACTGTGTAATTTATGAGAAACATCATTTATTTCTTACAGTTTTAGAGGCTGGGAAGTCTGAGGTCCAGGGAGTGTATCTTGTGAGGGCCTTCTTGCTTGTGGGGATTCTTTGCAGAGGCCCAGGGTGGCGCAGGGCACCACAGGGCGAGGGAGTCGAGTGTCCTAGCTCGGGTCTCTCTTCCTCTTCTTTTAAAGCCATCAGTCCTGGCTGGGCGCAGTAGAAGCGCACTTGGTCCTTTGTGATTTCCTTACTGGGAAGTGGGAGAGAAATTGCTCAGATGGCCTCCCCCTCCCCAGATTTGAAAGAGAAAGAGAGAGCGAGTTGTGAGTGAGCGGCTTTGCTCTCCAGCACTTGTTTGGTGAAGAGCCTCAGGGTCTGGACTATGACCTCCCAGCTCTCAGGAACCCCATTCACCACCAGAAGAGGTGGCATGTTCACCCTGTTATTCAGGAAGGAATTGGAAAACAAACATTCAAGAGTGTGAGGTCAAGAGCTAGAAAACCCCAAGCCCCCGGCACCTGAGCCAGGGAAGATGCTGGGAGCACCTGCAGGATACTCCCATATTCTGCCCCCTTGGTACTTGTCAGCCTCTGAGAACTGAAGCCAGACCCTTTCTTTGCTTGAGCAGAAGAGCAGACCAAAGAGCTCATTGACTCAAGGAGCATGATGGCAACGGGGCTGTACTTGGAAGGGAAGAATCCAGGGTGTGATCCACAACCAAGGCCTGAAGAAGTGGGGTCTGTATTGACCTACCAAGGGTGAGTCATGACCCAAGTGCTGGGTCTCTAGCCGTGGGTGGTCCTTCCAACCATTTCCCCTCCTGCAGGGGGGCTGGTGTTTTTCTTCATTTCTCATAACCTTCTTGGGAGCACAGGCTTTGGTTTCTGCCTTCCCTGGATCAGGCCTCCCGCAATGCAGTTGCTCTAACAGAAACTATTAGCAATGACACAGTACCACAGAAGCAAGCTCCTTGCGAACAGTGATTACTGACAATATTGTCTTCTAGAGACCATTCTAATGACTAGACAGCTTTGGTGCAGGAGCTGTTGTCGGTCATGAGGAGCATTTCCTTGTCTATGTAGAGGAACTGAAACCTATATGGCCAGCAAAATTTACCCAAAGCAATCACTGGGATACTCATCACACCATCATGGCCCATTGTATCACTTTTGTTCCCTATATATGTGGTCCCATTTCCTCAGGACCAGTACTCCCTTATGTGGGGAGCTGGACAGATGCCGTGAGTTACTTATAGTGACTCATTAGTTGGGGGATTTGCTAGTATTTTCATCAAAGTTGAATCTAGTGAAACATTTGATTGAACTGGCTCCCAAATTCGGAATAAACCAACACCACTCAGGAAACCTATTTACAGCAAGAACTCAGGAGTGGGAACGCATCCTCCACTGTCACCTTGATTAACAATAGCTCTGACCTGTGGGAGGACGGTCCTATCTCCTGTAACAAACATAGGGTAGTGATGAGCCAGGTCCTGCTGCTCCTACATTCTCATCACTTAGATAAGCACATGCAGGTGACTGCAAGCCTTCCAGCCTCCATCAGCATCCTCCCGTTCTCCCCTGACCGCTCTCATTCATGTTCCGCACTGATTCAGAGGTCCCGTCCTGAGTGTCAAAAAGAAACAGTTGCGAGCCTTTCTAGAAATCAATCCATCATTCATGGATTATAGTGAATTCTTCCCTACTAAACACATCTCCAGAAATTTAGACTCGGTAACTCCCTTCCTGAATGTCCTTCCAAGGCCCCAAGTGACACTGATGTTCCATAGACAATGCCTTACACAGCAAAGTGCTTGTGTGGGTGGAAGGCAGCTGACCTTCCCTGAAATCCTGATTACAGGTTCTGTTTAGAACATGGAGTCTCATTTTGAGAAGCTCTTAGTATTTAGCATTCACAGGAAGTTCACAGGTTCCAGAAAACACTGGACAGCACTCAGGGGAAAGAGAAGGGGCAGAGATGGAGACACTTGGTCAGTGTGGCCACAGCATCCTGGGGGAAATGCACTGAGGGATGGGGGAAATGCACTGAGGGATGGGGGAAATGCACTGAGGGACGGAGGGGCAAATGCACGCGGGTGGTGGGGAGAAGAGCAACGCAGATAGCAAAGACACTGTCCAGACAACCTCCCAACTCAGGAGAAGGGACTGAATCCAAGAGGAGAAGAGGAGGGATGAGGCTGGGTGTTGAGGCATGCCCCACAGTCTATGAAGTCTGTGAAAATCAGACACCTGTAGATTTGATTTCAGTGTCCTGATAGAAAAAGAAAAACAATGCTAGCCATAATTTTGAAAGGCTTTGATATTTTGGGAAATAAGCTTCTCATTTGAGGCTAGATTTAGTTCCTTCCCTCTGAAACATGTTCAATTCATGATTTCTACTTAATTCAGGTTTTCTAGTTTTGTAACAACTTAAGCTGGTTGATCAAGCTTGCAGGCAGGCAGGCAGGCAGGAAGGAAGAAAGGAGGGAAAAGAAGGAAGGAAGAAAGGAAGGAAGGAAAGAATGAAAGAGAAACAGTAAAAGAAAAAAAAAGGAAAGAAGGAAGGAAGAAGACTACAGAAGTCTCGACATGAAGTGTTTCTGCAAGTAAACAAGGAATTCCTTTTGTACCAAGGACTCCAAAGTTGTCTGGACTCCTTAGGCGTCACAAGGCCACTGGCCCTGATGTTTCAGTGAACTGTGAAATAAAGCACTGACCCGCTGCTGTTCCACCGTGATGCCTCCAATCTCTGGGCCTCAAGGGAAGATAGTGTTCATTCATTCTGCAATTACTTATTTAGGATGTACTTGTTGGGTGAGTGGTGAGCGTGATGGTTGACAGGCAGACACAGATAATAATCAAGTACACAAGTAAAGAGTAATTAAGGCCACTTATTTTGGAATTAAATAATTTGGGGCTCAAATCGTAGTTCAGTTTTTTGACAACCATATCACTTTGGGCAAGACACTTAA